TTTCTGGAAACCTATTGCTTGATCAATATTGTTTTGCATTAAGTTGTAATTTCTGTTTTCCTGTGTGGCTCTGAGATTTGGAAACTGTGCAAACTCAGAGGTGACAGCCTGAACCATTCAATTAATCTTGGTTATGATGGATTTTATGAGTCCACATTAGCATGACTGCATATCAAACACCACACTTTCAGCTCATTGCAGCGCGCCGATATCAAAACCTCCCTGGCAAGGGCTCATTCATGTGAGGCTGCACAAGTAGTAAAAGATCCAGGATTTCTAATGGTCTTCTTGCCTGTGACAAAAGGAACCCTGAGGCCAGAAAAGCTCCTTTATGGAAACTTGAAATAGCCCTTTAAAGCTCATCATGCCAATGCCACTAGCTGGAAAAGAAAGGCTTTTGCTGGAGATGTCTTGGGGCAAATCTGATACTAATCAAATATTGCTATAGTCTGAAATTATATAACTTATCTAGGAACCAGAGGAGAGGAAAGCAAGCTCAAAAGAAATGGGGAAAAAAAAAAGAAAGAAAAACTGAAAAGGAAACAAAAAAATTGTACCACCTTTTACCCACATCTTCTGTTCATAGATTGGTCTGTTCCCTAGTCAGTGAGTGCAGGTGATGGAAGTCAACAATTTTCTGACAGTCCCTCCTAACTGTGTTGGACAAAAGATCACATCCTCCTCCTTTGACTTTCACTTAACTGGACTACATATGGCGAATGGTTTCAATTTCATCTTCCCTGCCAAATTCTCTAAGCCAGAGTTTATAGCAGTAAGTCCTTCTCTGCAAGTGTTAAGTTAACCAGGTGTATTGGGTTTACATGGCAAGGTTTTGCTAGCAGGGGGGATACAGGGGTGGCTTCTGTGAGAAGATGTCAGAATGTCCAGTAAAGTCAATGCCAGCCAGCTCCAAAATGGACCTGCCGCTGGCCAAGGTTCAAACAATCAGCAACCATGATAGCGTATCTGTGATAACATATTGAAGAAGGGGAAAATTTACTATGCAGCAGCAGCCAAGAAAGAGAAGTGAGAATGTATGAGAGAAACAAAGCTGGGGCAGATTCTCCTGCAGCCCATGGTGAAGACCATGGTGAGGCAGGCTGTCCCCCTGCAGCCCATGGAGGTCCATGGTGGAGCAGAGATCCATCTGAAGCCCATGGAGAACCCCATGCCAAAGCAGGTGGATACACCTGAAGGAGGCTATGACCCCACAAAGAGCCTGTGCTGGAGAAGGATCCTGGCAGGACTGTTACCCCATGGAGAGAGGAGCCAACACTGGAGCAGGTTTGCTGGCAGGACTTGTGATCCCATGGAAAGGACTCATATTGGAGAAGTTCACGGAGGACTGTCTCCTGTGTGTGAGACCCCACAGCGGAACAGGGGAAGAGAGTGAGGAGGAAGGAGTGGCAAAAACAACATGCCATGAACTGACCTTAACCCTCATTTCTCATCCCCTCTGTGCCACTCAGGGGGAGGAGGTAGGGAAACTGGGAGTGAAGTTGAGCCTGAGAAGATGGGAGAGGTGGGGGGGAAGGTGTTTTAAGATTTAGTTTTATTACTTAATACTCTGATTTGTTTGGCAATAAATTAAATTAATTTCCCCAAGTCTAGTCTGCTTTGCCCATGATGGTAATTGGTGAGTGATCTCTCCCTGTCCTTATCTTTACCCATAAGCTTTTCATTGTATTTTCCTCCTCCTGTCTAGTTAAGGAGGGCAGTGATAGATTGGCTTTGGTGAGCACCTGTCATCCAGCCAATGTCAATCCACCACACCAGGTTCATCTATCTTGAAACTAGGTGACTAGCTCTAGTAATGCATAAAGTCTTTGTCTCATGTTTTGTGCTGATTTTTCCTTTCCTGCTACATTTGCAGTGTGTGTTTTCAAACCCACTGGGACTTAAATAGAGATGAAACACTCTGTTAAATAAGACCCAGACTAGATAAGGCTGGTGACTTAAGCAAAATTCTGTATTTTGGAATCTAAACACTTAGATCTAATCTGATCTTGATGGAGTTTCTATACTCATACTGAAGAGTGCCTTTTTTTAATCCTTACTATTCTGAACAAACATATACAACCCTTTACTCAAGACCATGAAGTGGTGTATCCAAACTGTCTCTCTAAAGAAAAAAGCTGCATGAAAAATGCTATTTTGTCTTTCTGCATAATGTTCTCTCTAAACAGACAGATATGAAGCTCCAATATATTAGGGGCAGAAGTAGAAAAGCATTTAAAAATTAGGAATCAAACATAAAGGAGAATCTTAGAAGAGAGGGGACAATGGAAATGGGAAAACAGTAAGGCAGTGGAAAAGTGAGGAAAGATTCATGAAAGTGGAAAGTGGAAAGGGGTTGTTACTAAGAGAAAACAAAGCTAGGCTTTTTTGCTTTGTTTACTTGCCTCCTTTTCCCTCTCTGACTGAAAACACCACAAATGGCTTCAACCTAGAGGGCAGCATTCTGTCCTTGCAAGCATAACTGGCAATGAGTTACCTGCTCAAAGGAATGCTTTGATCTTTAAAGCAATGCAATGTTTTCAAAAAGCTGTTTGGTGAGAACCAGTATTATATACACTAAAACTCTGGCATATGTAGTAAGGGACACTAAATGCTTTCAACTACAGACACAGTTCACAAAATGGGATTATAGCTGTGTTGTTGACTGTTTCAAAGAGAGTACAGCAAACAGAGTCCAAATCAGGACACTGGCAATGTACCTAAAATGGGATGAAAATTAATTGAGTAAGCAGTAAAATAACACCATAATAAGGTTTCTGAATTTCTTGGTCTAATGCAGATGGCGTTTCAAGTACACGAGTCTGGAGCACCTACCAGCAGGTGCCATGGCAGTTTTTGGTGCTGGAAGTAAGCTCCTCCGTGGAGTTGCTGTGCTGTTTGATACCTGTGTCGCGCTCTTGCTGCTCCCTTTAGAGACGTCTTTAGAAGGTGCAGATGCTTTAGGAGTGGTTTGCTCTTCATTTCCAAAGCTGGAACCTGCAGGAGACCAAAACTGCTCCAATTATAAGTTCATAAAAAATGTATGTGAACTGTGGCATACAGACTGAGCTTGTATCAGCAATTATAATCTACAAAGACATACTCTTATTGGAGGTTGGTCTAAGTTACATGGACGTTTCCCAGTACAAATGGTTATGTAGAAATAAAGAGTTACCTCCCAGCAACTTACTGAAATCTAAGTTGTCTCGGCAACTGTTGGAGCCTGACTCCAACAGGAACTTAACATCTGCTTTCGTGCTAGCTCCATAAAGGTATCTGTCTGCAAGGCTTCTAAGAAAATCAAGGAATTTCTAAATATCTGGGTGGACAAATTGATTTTGGCTTTGTAGGTGCTACAGGGCCCACCCTACACACTCAGCCTAACACTTGGGATTGCTGGTTGTCAGAGCAAGAGCGAATAGCAGGGCTCAGTGGTGCAAGGCATCCAATTCACCTACCCAGGAGGGATTTCCCAGAAACAGTCCCTCAGACCACACTCAGATATTTGAATAATAACATAAAAAGAAAACAAAAAAATTGTGCCTTAATTCTCACATCCACTTCAATCATATTTTCATAATGAATCTTATGTTGCTAATGTTTCCACTTTATATTGACCTCTTTCAAAGCCTCCTCCTGCATTTGCCATCTAGGGAATAAGGACATTCTAGACTCCTTGTAGAGATAAGGAAATCAACCTTTTTGTAACATTTGAAAAAGGCAAAGTTGGAGTGTCTTCTTTATCTATTGAGTAGAAAACCTAAGACGAGCAAAGGATTACAGTACATCTGGACCTGAACATTTGCAGAAGGATGAGCATTTCACTTGAAAAAATGAATGGAGATAATGGCAAGAAATACCTAGGATTTCAGCAAAGGGTTATAAATTTTATTTCCATTATTTAAAAAAGATACAATACAATACTATTTAGGTACTGTCTGCAGGAAGATGATAATGTTATTTTAACAATTGACATGTCCAAGTCTCCAATATTTTTAAGATTTAGGCTTCTTAAAGCAAGTAAGGGAGAGGAATTTTTTTGCCTTTCTTACTGAAAATCCACTAGGTAAAAAGTGCAGGTTGGAAAAGAAAATCCTCTTTTCTGATAAAGGAAGAATATAACTTTTAGCTCTTACAAAACAGCTTTAAGTTTTGCTGTGTCTTTAAGGCTGCTTGCATATAGGTCTTAATTTAAAGCACATATCTGTAGTATACGTGGAATTCTACAAACACATTTGACCTTTGTTCAAATAGTAAGCCACATTAAAAATTTAAACAAAACAGTGTACTGTACACAGGAACAGGAAAATCTGAAGCATTTGTCATCTTTACGCTGCTGTGCACATAACAACCCCTTAGCACATCAGGTCATTGTTTTATATCCAAACGACACATATATTTTCACCCATGTAACAAACATTTAAGATTACATACTGAATTATCTGCTGACAAAACATCGCTGACTTCAGTAAAGTCACATCAGCAGCTGTGCACAAGGACACCCCTAACAGGTGCCAGGGGGATGTTACAGCATGTGTCCGTTTCAAGTCCTTCTGCATTGTGCTCCTGAAGTGGTCTCAGATATGTACTCACCCAGTTGGTTTGGCTAGCACTGCTTGTAGAAAATTTTTTCTTTCCTCAGCTATTTGTTTAAAAGTTTCAATTGCAGAAACATTAACCCTGAAGAGGAAATTATTCCTATTATTTGCAGAGAATGCCATTCAAGTGCTCTTTAATGGGAATAATTTATTTTCTATAGTGAAATGTATTATACAGAGAATGTTTCAAGTCACAAATTTGGCCAAATGGAAGCAATTCCCGCATTGAAGAACAAGGTGTCCAGGGGAGTTACATAACCTCTTATTAAAAAAAAAGTTTAAAAGCTTTTCTAGCCATTGAAGATGAAGTGCTGCCAGCTATAAACACTTCTACTGCCTAAAACACAGCATAAGAGGTCTGCTAATTACAGAAATGAGTGGGTGGGAAAGCTGACGACCACAGCCTCATCAGGTCCCCTGAATCAGAACCGCCTGGTGCCTGGAGAGAGCTGGCTGTGTACCTCATGCCATGGCTGGACAAACCACTTCAGGAGAAAAACAAAAGCAAAGAAAAAAAAGCAATTCAGCTTTTGATTTTTTAATAATAAATGGACTCAGGGAGACAAGCTGTGTTGCTGTACTGGTTGTCAGAGGCAAGGTGCTGGGGGCTGCAGGGGTGGCCTGTGTCAGGAGAGGACGGCACTGCCCCAACGCGAGCTGGCTCCAGCCAACCCCAACAGCCTCACAAAAGGGCACAGCCTGGCCCATCAGCCAAGGGAGGGCACCTCTGGGAAAATGTATTTAAGAAAGGGCAAAACACTGTCCTGCATTGAGGAGTGAGGAAAAATGTGTAAGAAAAACCCCTGAGAGCACCACAGAAGAAGGAGGGGCAGGAGGTGTTCTCAGCGGCCTCTAGAGATGACCATGGTGAAGCTGCTACTTCCCTGCAGCTTGCAGAAAGGACCACAGTGGAGCAGATATCCACACACTGCAGCCTGTGGAGGACTCTGGGCTGGAGCAGGTGGACATGCCCTGAAGGAGGCTGCAGTCCATGGAGAGCCTTTGCAGGAACAGGCTCCTGGCAAGAACTGTGGCTTCTGAAGTGAAGCTGAGGCAGGAGCAGGTTTATCCTAAGGGACTGCAGCCCATGGTAAAGACCCACACTGAAGCAGGATAATGTGTCAGAAGGAAGAAGTGGCAGAGAAGAATTAATATGGACTGATCGCAACCCTCATTCCCCATCCCCCCTGACCTGCTTGATGGGGAGGAGGGATGGAGGCAGTAGAGAAGCTGGGAAGGAAGAAGTGGAGTCTGGGAAAAAGGAGTGAGGAAGAAGCTGGTTTAGTTTTTTTTTCCTTTGTTTCTCACTTTTCAGTTCTCTTTTAATTGTAAATATATTAAATAATTTTCCACAAGTCGAGTCTTTTGCCAGTGACAGCATTGGTAAGTGATCTCCATGTCTTTATCTCTGCCCATGAACTTTTTAATCTTATTTTCTTCCCTGTACTGTTGAGGTGAGGTAGTAAGAGAGTGGCTGGGTGGGTGTCTGACAGCCAGTCAAAGTCAATTCACCACAATACCAATATCAATATATCCAGGATTTGCTGAGATAAGGTCAATTTTAACATAAGAAACAATATCTCCCACTTTGCTCTTCACTCAGAGACGGAGTTCAGATAGTGACAGTTACCCCACTGCATGTATAATATGCCCCAAAAGCAAATATTTGCTGCTTCCAAGGATAGTTCCACATATAATCTAGTTCCCCAGGAGCAGGACAAGGTAAGCTCTACCGTGGTACACATGATGCAGGATTACACTTCTCTTTTCAAATAGCATTGAAAGAAGAAACAAAATTAAAGATTGAGGAAAATGCATATTCCTCATGAGCTAAGAAGAAAAGAAAGGTTTTAATTTATTCAGAGGAATTAACTTCTTGAGGGAAAATCAGAAAGATTATTCATCAGATGGTACTTGACAGTCCGTCATAAGATAATGCCCTCCACTATTATCTGCAGTGGGTGAGTCAGTAGCATCTCCCCTCCCAGAATACCACAGAATCACAGAATCACAGAACGTTAGGGATTGGAAGGGACCTCAAAAGATCATCTAGTCCAGTCCCCCTGCCGGAGCAGGAACACCTAGATGAGGTTGCACAGGAAGGCGTCCAGGTGGGTTTTGAATGTCTCCAGAGAAGGAGACTCCACAACCTCTCTGGGCAGCCTGTTCCAGTGCTCTGTCACCCTCACTGAGAAGAAGTTTCTTCTCAAATTTAAGTGGAACCTCCTGTGTTCCAGCTTGTGCCCATTACCCCTTGTCCTATCATTGTTTGTCACCGAGAAGAGCCTGGCTCCATCCTCGTGACACTCACCCTTTAAATACCAGTTCTAATTTTTTCCATAAAAGCCTGCACAGACACCCCAGATGTGCAGTGCGTGAACAGTTTCCAGGTGATCATGTCCTCTGTTGTAGTGTACCTCTTCCCTCCTACTCCTCTACTTTTGCATTTTATCTAAACCAGCAGAAATTCCTTGCTTGCCTTTGAAGCACCTGGCAAGTCATTTGAATGTTCCTACATAAAACATCCTGTATTTTTGCAGACTCTGTGTTCTATGAAGAGCAACACTGCTGAATTTGCAGTGCAGTATTTAACAGACTATTCATGATCCACTGGAGGTAAAGGCCTTCAGCCTCACTTTTACCATTTCCTCACTATGAGTCCCAGGGAATCCTACTCTTCTGCTTATGAAAAAAAATGCAGGGAAGAAGACTTTGGAGAGTGCCAGTTGTATTCTCATCCCCTGAAACTGTTATGCCAGTAAAGATATGCGTAAGTCAGGGCTGGCAACATATTGTAGGTTGTGTGTTCAAAGAAAACCAAGACCAAAATCCCACTCCGAGCTTGAGGCTTGAGCCACCCTCTCTCATATCTGCCACTATCCTCTTCACTACCTGGCCCTGCCCTGCAGCAACTCACTTCAGGAGATCCTCATCCCTGGAGAAGAAGGCTCCCTTGTAAGTGTCAGTAGGAGTTTGTGTCTCTTGTATGTATTCCTTTCCTGGAATTATTTGCAAAATGTATCAAAAGGCATGCAAATATGGTATGATACTACATATTCTGCATTTGAGAAGAAATTAATTAAGCCATGTTATATGAGTAGGTCATCCTCTGAGGAGACAGTGATAGGAAGGGCTATGTCCTGGAGTCCCACTGCCACAGCTTTCCCTGCTTGCACTTGAGTGCAATGAAGTCTACTTCTGTTGGAGAACTTGGGTCCTTTCTAGAAAAATAGCTTGTCTGACAACACCTACAGGTCTCTGTTTTGCTGAGAAAGAGCCCAGAAGTGTTAAAGCACGAGTGCAGCTGCTTCTGTGGTGCCCTGTCTGGTGGGCTGCTACATGAAGCCTATGGAAACAGAGTGAGTGTCCAACCCTTCACAGCAGGTCAAGTGTTCAGTG